TTGGTTTGCATTTCGCTGATGGCTAAGCATACACATTGGCATCTGGACGTCACTTAAGAATAGTTTGTTCTGGTAACTTGCCTATTTATAGAGAAGGTTCCTTGTTCCTTTTGTGTTAAATTTCTTATGTCCTTTGACAAATAAATATTGTTTAGACTACTCCATATTTTATCATAGCCAAGATGTAGAAGAACCTTAGATAACCAATGCCAGATGATAGATAAAATTTAGCCAAATAAAAGTTTAAATGGAATATGGAGTCCTTAAATTGAAGAATTATCATCCATGATTGACTTGGAATTAGCATAGAGAACATAATTCTAAGATAAATAGCCCAGGCACAGAATGACAAATTTGGCATGATACCCTTTGCAGAGTACATCTAAACTAGACAAATGCATGAAATCACAAGGCAGGACGATGATGCTCTTGGCCTGGGCAAGGCGGAGAGTGAGATATGAACCAGAGTGGAAAGATTGGGTTTCACGTGAAAAGTAAGCTGTAGAGATCCCCATACCATTACATGGAGCCTACATGTATTTTGTAGTGGATACTAAAAATTTTGTGAATAAAATAAAAATTCTGTTAGATGTTAACAAAAGAAAAATAATCAATAATGGTAATATGCTAATGATATAGTTATATCAGAAATAAAATTATGAGTCCATTTTATTAGGGGATTGGGTATGCAACAGAGGGATTTATTGAGCAGATAATGGTAACAATACCATGTATGTTTGAAAATATATCGTAGGTTTGAAGAATTCAAATGCAGTACAATCTAACTTGAACAACTTACCTATGTAAGTATTCACAAATTATAAACACAGAAGGAAGTATATGACTGACATATATTGACAACTTAATCTACACAAGGAATTGTGACTCACTATGTTTAAGGTAATCAAAGATATATAGAGAGACCTCACAAAAGATGATATACTAAACTAGTAATACAAGGCCATGTAGACAACATCATCAGATGATTTCAAGTTAAAAAAAATCAAAAATTTACCAGTAGAGAAAAAGTACTGGGCCCGGGAAAATAGCTCAGTGGAATAAGCGCTAGTGACCACAGTGGAGTGATTTGGACCTTCTTCTCCTTGTGTTTAGTTAGCTGTTCAATAGTGTTCTACACTGACCAGACCATGGGACACAGAGTGATAGACTGGGTGCTCCTTCTGGCTTATAGCCTGCTTCCAAAACACTGTGGGAAAAAGGGGAAACATCTTTCATACTCAAGGATTTTTAAATGGTTATCATTATTTGTAGCCCCTCACAGGTTCTGATCTTCAAGCAACCAATAGTGGATTTTCAGAAGTTTCTTATAGTTAAAAAACAGAAACAACTTACTCCTATGAAAAATGTAACAAGGAGAGGTTAAACACTAATCCAAAAGCTAGGGGGACACCATGATATTACTCATATAGCATTAATTTCTCTAAAAAAAAAAACAAAGCTGTCTTTATTAAGGTATTTCATATATATTTGTTGCAAGTTCAAGGAGCTGAATTCCCACTCCATACTAGTTGATTCTCTAGCATGTTTTCCAGACAAAGTCCTTTCAGCAAAGGGGGTAATTAATTCCTAGGAGAAAAAAAAAAACATGGATCAAAGTCAAGATTTCTCAGTTTTATTGAAGCCTCTTTATATATTCGTAAACTTTAGGCTGAATATATATTTTTTGTGAAAGTTTACACCTCCAGTGCAACTTTTGATCTGAGTAGTTGAGTCATTTGAATATACTTCCCTCAAATATACTATTTTCCTCATTACAGGATATGAATCAAAATAAAAAGATAACTTTTCTAAAGTATAGCAGAAGAACCCATTCTAAATTTGAACATCAGTTTTTCCATGAAAACTATTCAAGGATTTAGATAAAATATTTGAGGCTTTATAATCACAATGACCCTTCCTTGTGGATGTGGTTCAGATTGTTCCAGTCATCTATTGATGCACGAATGAAGTCTTCTTAATGGATTGTTCTTCATTCTTCCAAGAGATCACTTGAAGATAGAATGGTTTCTAAAAGTACACACACAGTATGGAGATCACATCAGAGTATGAAGGTGAGTTTTAAACTTTGCTTCTTTCATACTATTGCTTTTCCAAATAGAGCAATCTTTACAATTGTCACGTAAGTCTTAGGTATTGCATTTTCACCTGAACTTTTTAAAAGAAATCTAGTAAATATCATAGCGTTAACTTTACATTGATGACCGAGACACAAAGACAGGAAGCAGTTTATAAGTCTCACTCCTCTACAGTAAGAAACACAACTTGGTTATAAGCAAATTTTACTTACTAAGACTCATCTTGAGCATAACTTTTTTTAATTCACCTCAAGTGTACATAACATGAATATACTAATGTTAATATATTAATACTTTAAACCACTTTTTAGAGGTATGCTTAACTCAAAACATTTCCACGTATAATATCTAGTATTTCATTGATTTGGAGATACATATATTATGTGACATTCTTACCACTATCTATGTGCTAAATCCCTGCATTTACCTAACAACTAAAACATGAACTTCTATAGTAGTAATGAATTTCATTACTATTAGGACTATTACATTATTTCTTTTGTTATGTTAAGAATATCTAACTAAAAATAATTACACATTTTAGCACAGATATTTTGTAATCAAGCCATATTCGACATTGTAGCGGAACAGTGTTGCTACATGTTGTTTTTCTTGTTCCTCATTTTTTAAAATTACCTTTTTTACGTACATTTACTTTAGAGAGAGTATAAAGAATAATTGATAAATTCAACTACCTATAATATTTGGACTGGCATCAAGTATGACATCCTTTATAGACTTTTCCAAATGCAGTTTCTCTAACAGCAATGGAACACTCATCTCTGACAAAACAAGACACCAAAGGGGGACATGGTTAGATATACAGCTCCTTTCTCTTAGTTCAGTGAGAAGAAAGTTTTGGACTAATAGTGTTTTGTTAACATATCATTTCTATATCTTGTCCTCTGAATAAGTGCTACAAAGGCTTTAATAAGCAATGCAATAATTATTGTAACTGTTCTACTAACCTGTTTTGACACTTTCTTAGATATTTTATCATTTTTCATTAAAATGAATTTTTCTTTCTTTCTTTCTTTTTTTTTTTTTTTTTTTTTTTTTTTTTGTGAGCCCGGGGATTGAAATCAGGCCATTGCTCTTGCCCGGGAAGTGCCTATTCCTCTGAGCCATCTCCCCGGCCCCATTAAAATGAATAAAGAGAGGTTATCTAACTTAAAATTTATATGATATATTGATAGTCTTGAATTCAAGCCCAAATATGAAGAATTCTCTCTTTACAACTGCTAGGAAAAGTTGTTGTTTGCACAAACGTAGACAGTGCAGACTTCTCCTGAGCTTATGGCATAGTAAGTGGTCAGTTTCGTAGCTCAAACTGGCCCTTGTGCTGCTTTGTTGAATGCATGCATAGTACACAAATAAATATATTTCTGGATATATCTTTTATGTCTTCATATAAGAATCAACTCACATAACACAGGGAAATCAATATTCTCAATCAGAATTAGTGAAAAATGCCAGCAATTATATTAAGGTAAAAGAAATTAAGAGCGGGAGAACAGGGATGGCAGTCTCAGTATCGCAACTTTTACACTATTAAACCAATACATTTAACCACTCTGATAAATGTTTTCAAGCAACATCAGAAAAATCTGGCTTCAGAAAGTAAGCTGAGGGACAGGACAAGATTCATTTCCTTAACAGTTGAGGGTTGAAATATATCATCACTGTTGTATGTAAAACACTAGTAATTTCTGAAGAAATATTATGGTAATCATATTGTTCATATTAATATTCATATTAAACAAGAATACATTACCCTTATTTGCTCTCACATGGTATCATGGTCTCTCTAAGTTAAGGCAAAGACTTTAAAGGAAATTATATATCAGGAAATAGATGTCAATAAGTAAAATAAAAGACCTAGGTGGTCATTGCTATATTAGCTGCCTCTCCTGAAGCACAGAACCTTGTCATCTTTGGGGAATTCTTAGAATAACTTAAAGGTATATAACAAGAGAAAAATGACAGTATTAAGTAGAGAGTGTGTTTAGTGAGGATAAAGCAAATAAATGTCCACAGAAATACTTAGAATACATGACCTTGTCAGTAGGTATTAGTTAATAATGTTATTGTCACCATAAAAGTGTATATTAGTCTCTGAAAGTCTTTCTTTGTAAAATGGACTGAATAATACTAACTACACAGGTTATCTTAAGTATGAAGGGAATTGTGTGTGCAAAGGACGTGGTACCATGATTTATATTAATCAGTACAATTCCTGTTGTAGCATTTAATATTATAAGTACATTGGAATTAATGAAGGTATATAATTCTTAGAAATAGCTCTATTACATTTTCCTTGCATTCTTCTCAGAATGGCTCTGCCATTGTCCACATGAGCTGTTACATAATTAATGAATGGAGACAACTGTCTTTGTCTTTCTGCTGTCACTGCACCTCACTCTGACAGATACATGAGGAAAGAAGACAGTTTTGAGAGCAATTTATAAGATTTTTCCTACTTCAAATTCCATGTCCTTTCCCTGTCTGATTTTCTCAGCTGTCTTTCCTCACATCTAATTTCTTAGTAGTAGAAGATAATAGTGTCCTTTGCATTGATGACTATATTGGCATTCTTTGCCTGCTGTTTGAGGCATAGCTGCCATTGTATTTAAAACATTTTTCTCTCTGGCATCTTAATCATCTCAACTAAGTGCAGTGGATTTGCCTTCTGCCCAGTGTGTTAACAAGAGTTGCTCATGAATATCTTCACCAAAAAGAAAGTTTGAGCAATGCAGGATAATTTATAGCTCTTAATTTTATCTCAAAAGTCAAAACAAAAACAGAAAACCTTATAGAATTAAACCAAACAGCCTTTATTATTTGCAAGGATGAGAAATTTTAAAAATTTAAAAGATATGCTAACATTTTCCAGGTAATATAAATGATTTCAATATGGAGAACATGGCAAATCAAAACAATGTGACGGAATTTGTTCTACTAGGGCTCACAGAAAACCCAAGGATGCAGAAAATTATCTTCGCTGTGTTTTTGCTCATCTACATAATCTCCATTCTAGAAAATATTCTCATCCTTCTCACTATCATTGTCAGCCCATTACGGAAGTCCCCCATGTACTTTTTTTTGGCTCATCTCTCCTTTATCGATACCTGCTACTGTTCAGTCAATAATCCAAAACTGATTGCAGATTCAAGGCATGAAAAGAAGATTAGCCTGTTGAATGCATGTATGACACAAGACTTTGCAGAACACTTCTTTGGTGGTGCTCAGATCATCCTGCTGACTGTGATGGCCTATGACCGTTATGTGGCCATCTGCAAGCCCTTGCACTATGCAGCCATCATGAACTGGAGATTGTGCAGCCTGCTCGTGGGGGTGTCCTGGGTGGGCGGCATTCTTCATGGAACCATACAGATGTTCTTCATCCTGCCACTCCCATTCTGTGGCCCGAATATCATAGATCACTTCATGTGTGATCTCAATCCTCTGCTCCAGCTGGCCTGCACTGACATCCGCACTCTGGGGCTCTTTGTTGCGGCGAACAGTGGCTTCATCTGTCTGTTAAATTTCCTGCTTCTCTTGGTCTCCTATTCATCCATTCTCTTCTCTTTAAAGACCCACAGTGCGGAGGGCAGGCATAAAGCTTTCTCTACTTGTGTCTCCCACATCACAGTGGTTGTCTTGACCTTTGTGCCCTGCATATTTGTGTACATGAGACCCCCAGTTACTCTACCCATTGACAAAGCAATTACCATTTTCTATACTGTGATAACTCCCATTCTAAATCCATTGATCTATTGTTTGAGAAATGCTCAGATTAAAAATGCTATTTGGACTTCATTTGTTAGGAAAATCCTATCAGATCACAAATGAATATCTGCATTCTAAAATGGATTTTAAAGACAAGGTTCAATAGGACATTTTAACTCTTTTAATTCTAAAATAAAAATACTTACAGAACATATAGAAATATACTGTCATTCATAGATTTTGTATTGATTTAGCAGAAAAAGTTAAACAGGGTAATCTAGGGCCACTATTTCTATATTTGGAAAACTACAACCAATAACAGCTTTGTTTTGCTAACTTCATTTATATTAGGAGATTCATACGCTTTTCTTCTAATAAAGATAATGTAAATAGTTATGCTACTAGTTTCTGTTAGTTCATTGGAAAGATAGGTTTGAGCTAATATAACTTGGAAAATCTTGTAAGACCACATATTTTATTTCACTGTAAAGGGTTGAACCATAAAAATAATAAGACATTTCCGAACAAGTGATTGAGAGCTTTCTAATAATTAATACTTTCCATATATTTTGTACTGGTTATCTACTTTAAAGAAAACCATATCTAATGTGTTTACCATTGTTATTCTCCTGTTTGTTTATTACAAAATTTTGCTTTACTTTTTGAATAAAATAAAAGCAAACAATTTAATATGTTACTCTTGAGCAATAGTATGTACAAGATCTGAAAAGGTCAGCACTGCACTTATGCTCATTTTGTTCTGTAAGAGCAGTGACAGTAGGGATGTTGTCAAGATATACACATTGGGCTGTATTACGACACATCATAAGACTGGTGTTTTGTTTGTTTTGCTTTGGCAGAACCAGGGATTAAACTCAGGTCCTTGCCGCATCATATGACTGATTTTTCAGACCAGAGTTTCTGCTCCTGTGGCCACTAGGGTAGATGATGTAGGATTGAATAATCCAGTATGGTTCTTATCATGTTTGAGAGAAGAATTTTCTTGAGCACATTGCACATGGCAGTGCTTCATCTGTCAAAAACTCTAAACATGTTCATTACCATCCTTGTGATTTTACATGTTAAATTCGTAGTCATGGCTTTCCATAAACAAAGTCATGAGTTCAATTCCAAGTACTAAAAGGAAAAATCTTAATTGCATGTTAATTGCATAGTACTATTTGTGTTCCTACCACCTATCTCTGAATTACCTCCCTCTCTTCCTTAAAAGGTAAGTATAGCTTAGCATGTTTATCAGATTGCATTCCATGAAGCAAAAACTAAAGACTGAAACCTTAAACCTGAGCTGAGAACTATTATTAAGCCCTCAGAACAGAAGTTGCATTCTAGGATCTGCTTTACAATTCAAATTAGTTAAAGTATTCAGTGACTTTTGTGCACAGGAATTCTTTCTAGTCTATCTCAAACATATTCGCCCAACTTACAATACTGTGTTCTTGATGACACTACTTTATTGTAGTGTGAAATGGAATTTATCTTTCTTATGATTGCAGATTGCATTTGTTCATTACCTGTTGTGCTTTTACACATTTCCTCTTAAGTTTTGAAGTACCAAAGCACTGTGACAGAGTTTGTGTAACTTGTGTTCTCACAGAATTTAAGACTTCATAAAATAGCATTTGCTGTGTTTCTATTGGTGTACATGGCAACTACGTGGGGGCAACATGCTAGTCATAATGAGAATTGTTTGCAGCCCTGCACTACTTTGAAGCCCTATGTGCTTCTTCCTGGTCTTCTTTTCATCCCTGGATGGGTGTTTCTTTTCAATCATAACCAAAAGACGATTGCAGATGCTCTCTATGAGAGGAAGACAATCTCCTATGAATGCTGCGTGACGTAGACTTTTGCTCAACACTTCCTTGCTGGGGCAGAGGTGCTTGTACTCACATCCATGGCCTATGACTGTTATGTGGCCATCTGCAAGGTCTTGCACTACTCTACCATTGTGAACTGGAGGCTCTGTGGCATTTGGATTGGGGTAGGCTTGCCAGGGTGATTCCTACATTCCATGATTCTGATTTCCCTTACTTTTCACCTGCCATTCTGTTTCCCCAATGTCATAGATCACATCATGTATGACCTGTACCCATTGCTGACACTGGCCTTCCATGACACTCACATCTTGCATTTGCCAACAGTGTGTCCAACTGCATCCTCATCTTCTCTGTTTTGCTTGTTTCCTACGATATCATCTTGTTCTCTCTGAAAAACCATAGTTCTGAAGGGCGCAGCAAGGCACTATCCACGTGTGATTCTCATGTTGATGTTGTGATATTATTTTCTGTTTCATGCATTTTTATGTATGCACAGCCTCCATCTGCTCACGTCTTTTTTAAGTTTTTGGCCATAGTGGGCACCACATTAACTCCCTTGCTCAATCCTATAATTTATAGTTTCTGGAAGAATGACAGGAAGAATGCCATGAGAAAACTGTGCAAGATACTGCTGGTGCTCTCTATTGAAAACTAAAACATTAAACTTGTAGAAAATTAAGATTAAGTCAAATTCTTCTTAGATTTTAATAAGTTTTAAGTTTTTTATGTTGTTAGGCAATGCAACGCAATTGAAAATGTCATCTAGAAACACCACTTTCTTCCTGAGATTCTTGACCAACTTTGGATTGGCAACTTGGTATCTTCATGTGTCCTTGAAAATGATTTAAATTTATGCTTACTTCGAATGTAGTGATCAAAATGAAAAGTTGGCCTTCTCTCTATGCCTTGAAATATTTTAATGAGAAAATAAAAACTTCAAAAAGATTATACTCATAAGATCGAAGAATTTGAAAACAAAATACATACGTTTAGGGCACTCACCTTAATGGCTAATTAAAAACAACCATGACAAAATACAAAACGAAAGATGATTTTTCAGAATATCACATATAAATGTTCCTAGGTTATAGGACACTACTTCTTGGGGTCTGCTACAGAGTTTGATTCAATTTATTAATTTTAACGACAGAATCAGATTTGTCCAGTCCTGCCTCTCAAGTCCCTTGAGCATGAGACAGCACTCAGTACGGGCTTTGAAAGTAGATGGATTCCCGCACTAGACAGGGAATGAGTATCTCTGCTAACACTGTGAAGCGGAGAAGGCCCCAAACTTTTGTGAAAGCATCTATGTTAGTAGAGAAGACAATTTTGGACTTGTAAATGGAATCGACCAATATTTTCTCTCCAAAAGGAAGAAGCGAAGTCAAGGTTATAGGAAAGTAAAGTGAAAATTTTCAAAAGTCATTACTTTTCAAGTTACTCAGTGATTTCAGTCTTAATCCAAAGGATATCTTTTGGGTTAGTCCATTAGAGAGTAACAATCTTGTCTGAAATATATCACATAGACAATATGTGTCCACTGAGATAGAAGATTGTGCACAAAGACACAGACATGGTGAGGTGCTTTTACTGCACCTTTTCCTGTCTTTGCCATCATTGTCGACCATACATAACAGACCATCCCCCAATGTCCTTTCCCTTTTCAAAAAGGATTTATGTTTTTGAAATTCACCTATTACAAATTATTGATAAATGGAGGTCTGTTATCATTAGTTCAACTATTTCATGAATCTGTGAATCTAAGTTTGAATGTGATTTTAAGCACAAAACATGTACAGATTACAATGATCAAGGCAGTGTCGTGTCTCACCCAGAAAGCACTCAATTTAAAATACATTTTATTACTTTAACTCCAAGCAACCCATTTGAAGTCTAGTTGTAATATTCCATGAGGAATCAAATAAAATATTCAGTAAAAAAAACATATATTAAGATACTTATCTGATTTTTTTCATGCTACGATATTTGATGAAAAATATTTTACAAATATTTCAGAACAATAGTTTTGTTTTAATTGTTTTGTATCGCATATTGTCTGGGCCTACAGATTGTAAACTCCAGTCATTTCTTTTTAGGCCATTCATCTGTTTTGCTACCACTAAGTGGCCTGTTTTAGTCATTATGGTTACTGAAAGAATTTTCTGAAACACAATGCCAATTTAAAAACACAAATATTTTTAAAAACTCACTGAACTTCTGAAAGTGGTCAGTGGCACTAATTTCTAAATTAAACAAATAGCATAATTCTACACAAGAGTTTTTACATGAGAATACATACACTATTATTTGTCCATGGGAAGCACTTATACTCCTGAGCCATCTCCCCGACCCCTTGAACTACAACATCAAAAGTATGGCCAACATTATTAAGAGTTGCAAGTAGATCACAATTTTAATGGATTTATTATCATCAGTGCATTCTCATGAATCAATTAAAATTAAGAATTTCCTCCATAATGTGGAGTTGTCCTTCATCCTTACTTAAAAAAGAGCAAAATACATATTTATTTGCTTTTTCTTCTTCTCTCTTTTCTTTCTTTCTTTCTTTCTTTCTTTCTTTCTTTCTTTCTTTCTTTCTTTCTTTCTTTCTTACCAGGGAATGAACTTAGGACCTTGTGCTTGTCAGGCAGGTCCTTATGCCAGTGAGCTATCTCCTTGGCCTCAAAATACTTATTAAGGCATCCCACACTACAAAGATGGATATTTTCTTACCTCCCTCACAATTTGGCACTTAGGCTCTCTTGCTCTGTAACACCAAGCTCCTTTCCATCCAAGATTTTGCTACAGCACCTCCGCCTCATGGTTTGTGCACATTACCCCAGCATGGAATATTTCCTTCTCTTTGTGCACTTTGTTGGTGAATGCACCGTCTCTTATGTAATAAATGCTACTGGGCCACTAATTTGCAAACAACTACCTTTCTACTTAATTTTCTTGGCTTTCTCCAGCCTGTCCCTTTCTTTGAGCACCTGTGTCTAGAAACACCAACTGGAATTTTTTTTCCATGCTCAAGAGTCTTGCCATTTGACTGTAGATTTATTCACCGTAGATACTGGGCAAAGGGAATGAACCTATTCAAAAGAAAGACTTACTGGAGTTGAGGAGGAGTACAGGAGATGTTGTAGGGGAAAGATATTTATCTATATATGTACAGAGGATGTTTTGAACAATGGTACTGTGCATTTCTCCTGATCTATGGAAAGGAGAAAATAATGCTTAATTTCTTTGCTCTCCTTTTTTCTACTGGCTATACATTTTCTCTTCTTA